CCCTAGGTCTGGAGCGTGTGAACTTAACCACTACGCCACTGGGCCAGCCCCTGATCTTTTAATTTAATTTAATTTAATTTAAATGTAAATACTCACATGTGACTAATGGCTGTTGTATTGAACAGTGCAGAAAGTAACCCTGAAAAAGAAAAGAGCTTATGGGCCGGCCTGGTGGCTTAGCGGTTAAGTGCACGCACTCCGCTACTGGTGGCCCGGGTTTGGATCCCGGGCGCGCACCGATGTACCGCTTGTCTGGCCATGCTGAGGCCGCGTCCCACATACAGCAACTAGAAGGATGTGCAGCTATGACATACAACTATCTACTGGGGCTTTGGGGGGACAAAAAAGGAGGAGGATTGGCAATAGATGTTAGCTTAGAGCCGATCTTCCTCAGCAAAAAGAGGAGGATTAGCACAGATGTTAGCTCAGGGCTGATCTCCCTCACAAAAAAAAAAAAAAAAAGAAAGGAGCTTACACTACATGACTTTGAAACTTAGTAAAAAGCTACAATAATTAAGACAGTGTGCTATTGGCGTAAAATAGACAAACAGATCAGTGGAACAGAATACAGAGTCTAGAAATCAATCCACACATAAGGTCTTTTGACTTTTGACAAAGATGCTAAAGCAATCCAAAGGGGAAAGGGAATCTTTCTAACTAGTGATGCTGGAACAGCTAGATACCCACATGAAATAGAGTGAATCTCTAACTCCATCTTATACTATACACACACAAAAAATTCAAAATGGATCACAGACATAAATATAAATGAAAAAAGTCTGAATCTTCTAAAAGCAAACATGGAGAATATCTTTACAACTTGAGAATAGGCAAAGATTTCTAAGGTCATACAAAGTAATCACAAAATAATAAATTGATAAATTAGTCTAAATTAAAATTTAAAATTTCTCATCCAAAGACAAGACAAAATGCAAAGGCAAGCCATAGACTTCAAGAAAATATTTGCAATACATATATCTGATAAGGGACTCATTTCCAGCATATATAGCGATCTCCTACAACTCAATAGTAAAAAAAAGACAACCCAATTTAGAAGTGGTCAAAGATATGAATAGATTCTTCACAAAGAAGATACACAAATAGCCAGTAAGCACAATATCATTAGTCATCAGGGAAATGCAAATTAAAACCAAAATGAGATACTGTTACCCCGGCCCCTGACCCCATATGACATTAACCACACCCCTGCTCGGAACAAGCCTAACACATTCTCTTTAGCTTACAGGAGACCACAAGGAGAGGAAGGAAGATATGGCCACTTCTTCATTCTTTGGCCATTGAATAAAAGCTTGTGCCATTGAATGCTCACCTTCAGTTTTATTTCAAATCCACGACACCAAACAGAAAAGAACCCTCCAGAGAGGATGGATTGTGGCTACCAGGCGCACCCACGGGTCCCTCCTCAGAGCTCCTCCGAATGTGGGTTGGAGTCCCACCGGAGTGAGGTGAATTTGGTAACAATACTACTACACATCTATCCGCTTGGCTAAAATTACGAAGATTGACTAATGTTATCTAGGATGTGGAGCAACTGGAACTCATACTCTTTGGAAGTGTAAAATTGTACGTCCATTTTGGAAAAAGATCTGGCAGTTTCTTCTATAGCTGAACTTATGACCCAGCATTTCCACTCTTAGGTATTTACCCAAAAGAAGTGAGTGTATGTCCACAAAAAGATTTGTATAAGAAGGTTCATAGAAACTGTCCATCAACAGAAAAAAGTGGATAAACTATCATACAAACAAGCTCGTATAATTATACAGTGGAATTAGTGTGATTAACTGCCCTTGTTTCCCTGAGACTGGGAATTTTTGGGGGATGTGAATGTGGGACTTCAGTGCTAAAACAAGGAAACTTTATTTTTTATTTTTTTTATTTTTCCCCCAAAGCCCCAGTAGATAGTTGTATGTCATAGCTGCACATCCTTCTAGTTGCTGTATGTGGGACGTGGCCTCAGCATGGCGGGAGAAGTGGTGCGTTGGTGCGCGCCCAGGATCCGAACCCGGGCCGCCAGCAGCGGAGCGTGTGCACTTAACCGCTAAGCCACGGGGCCGGCCCTCAAGGAAACTCTTGAGCAAACCAGGAGGAGTTGGTCACCCTGATTATCCACCTCAACAGCATAAAGACCTAACTACTGACACGTCCAAGAACATGGATGAATCTCAAAACACTATGCTGAGTAAATGAAACCTACAAAAGAGCTCATACTCTGTAATTCCATTTATATGAAGTTCTAGAGTAGGCAGAACTAAGTTGTGGTGAAAACAAAAGCAGGAGAGTGTTTGTGTCTGGGGGTTTGGCTGATGGGGAAGGGTATGAAGGAACTTTCTGGAGTGATAGTAATGTTCTCTGTTTTGGTAGAGATTTGGGTTACCCAGGTGTACACGTTTGTCAAAACTCAATGAAGGGGGGGCCAGCCTTGTGGTATAGTGGTTAGGTTTGGTGTGCTCCACTTCAGCAGCCGGTGTTCACAGGTTTGGATCCTGGGTGCGGACCTACACCACTTGTCAGCCATGCTGTGGTGGTGACGCACATACAATATAGAGGAAAATGTTAGCTCAGGGCGAATCTTCCTCGGGGGAAAAAAAAACCCTCAATGAATGGTAAGTTGAAGTTTCTGAATATCTGCATTCTAAAAATTCCTGTAAGCAAATATTGAACTGTAGTTAATGATTTGCATACTGAATTGTTAATGATGTGCATACTGGAGTGAGGTGTCACTCTTCTTTGCTTGTCAAGTGTGGAATTTCTAGAAAAGTGCTATGTCGACATCAGAGATAGAGGAAGGGAGAAGCACTGCTCGAGGATCGTTCCTGAGTGGGATTGTTTGTTATGACTCTATTCATTTTAGGAAGATTTTCTTTAACTTGTTGACAACACTTTCCATGTTGCTGGATCCTTATTTCTTATTTAGTAATCCTATATTTTGCAGGAAGAATCTTACTTTGTTTTCTAGATCAGTGAGCTTCTTTCATTGTTTTGTGTATGTAATTTGGCTGCAGTTTTATTTAATTGCTTCGGTATTATTGGTTCTTTGCTCTTTTCTCAAGTTCTTATAATATTTACAAGTATAAGCCGAGACTCTCCATATTATGTCTTTTTAGCAGTCATTTTATTTCTCAAAGCAGTGACTCGAAACTTAATGGTTATTTTAAAGGATGGTAATGCTTACAGCATTCTAACTTTTCTTAGTACCTTTTCTTTAATAATATAATACTTTTAAAATTGGAACTGGATTGGGTTTAGATTAGCTTTTTTATTAACAACATTTTTTTTTGGATTCACAAAAATTAAAATGAGCATTGTAGAAAATTTTAGGCTTGATTTTAAAAAATTTTAATCTTGCTAGGGTTTTATTTTCACACATACGTTTTGTTATGGTAGTGGGTTAAGGTATGTTTCATCTTGTACGTATGTTTCATCTTGTAGTTCTCTTTCTTCTCATTTGTCTCTTTCTTCTCATCTCTAAAATGTGTTGTTCTTATGAGGAAGTCAGTTATAATAATGGTTCTCAATCCTACCAAACCCAGTGCACCCTTCTAATAACATTTTTAATAACCTGTTTCTATCCTGAAATTAATAAGTTGTTTAACCTACACCCATAACTTCAAAAATTCAATATAATTGCCCTGATTGTAATATAAAGAGGAAATAAAAGGAAAGTAATTAATAAATATTTCAATGTGTAAATTTTGGGGCTTGATGTAGTAGTCAGATGCTTGTGTCTATACAGAGACACTGTGAGTGGGACAGCTACAAATGCAGACTGTCATTGGTATGTTGCATTGGTGCCTTACGTACCACAGCAGTATTGCTGTCAGTTTCATGATTTTCAGAAATATTTGCCCATTCTTGATACAGTTCTGAACAAAACAAAGGACAAATTTCCCTCAATTTACATGTTATATGTGTTTCTGGAAATGTTGGCATCTATTTAAACTATGCAAACATAAACTTTGTTTATATGTAAAACAGAGTTAGGTTCTGGCTCATATCGTTATAAACAGGTTTTCATCTTCGTGAATGTCCAGGAGGACACTGGAAAGTTATGCAGGTGAGAGAAGAAGTCTCTAATGTGGAGAACTCTCCAGTGAATTGCAGGTCATCTAGCATCCCTGGACCTTGTGCACTAATGCCATCATTGCCCCTTAATCATTGTGACAGCCAAAACACAAACTTCCAAAACACCATATTGGGTGTTTTTTGAAATGGATATCTTTGGCAATTGTGTTACTTCTCAGAATAATGTTTTTAATGCATAAGATATATAGGATTACAAAGGAAACCAATTGTATTGAACTACAGGCCCCAGATTAAGAATCCTGCAAAGGGTGATATCACACCCCTCTCCAGTATACACTCCAGTTGAGAACCAGTAAGTTATAAGGGCATTCTATGTTTGGGGAAACAGAAAGGGCCTTAGTATTAAAGTATTGTGGGTTTGAAAGTGCATTTGGGTGCCTATATTATTTTGTCATCAACAAACAGCATCAATAGAGGAGTAACATCAACTCTTTAATAGAATGAAGCAAATAGCATAGGAGCTATATTTCTATTCTAATTTTGTATCTGATTGGAAATTAAATGTATCAAATAGACCAAAGGTTCTATTTCCCATTCTTTTCTCATTATGACTAAACTACCTCTCTGATTAATATCAATTAAAGCTCAGTTCTTTCGCCAACTTCTTTATTTATATATTACTTAAGGGAGTAAGGTGACCTTGGCAGAACAAAATCTTCCTCCAGCTGCCATTGGGCAAGTTGGCAAAGAACTTAATCATATTAACAGAGTAGTTTAAACACAAGTGGTTCTAGAATAGGAATTGTAAAGCAAGATAATCAAGAGTTTATTTCAACAGGTGCTCACTCAGTGTTTTCCAGGAGTGCACTGCAAGAGGTGACTATACTGTATGTGGACGAACAGTTTGTCATGACAAATGTGCTGAGTATCATGATGATGATTTTTATTTCTTTTAGGGTATGTCTCTGTGCCAGACTGTCGTCGTAGGCTCTGTAGTCATTCTTCTCTACTCTTCAAGAGCATGTTATAATTTGGTGGTGATCACCATATCTCAGGATACATTAGAAAGTCCATTTAATTATGGCTGGGATAATCTTTCAGATAAGGTGAGTATCTACCATGTATTGCCAATCTAATAATATGATAATGAAGTTAGCCTTAACTAGGAGAACATTTTAAGTGTTTGACTTAACAAACACTTTTATGGAATTTCTAGCTACTATCAGTAATCATACTTAAAGTTCTATGTTTAAAAATCCTCATTTAAGATCATGTGGCACTTGAAATCATTCTTCAGAGAGAACTTCTTCCAAAGGAGTACTTTCTTTTCTTTTTGTAAATAATACTAATAGTGCCATAAACTTATTGGTCATCAACCTATTTTATTAATTTTTTAAAGGATAATGTTTAAATATCTCTAGATAAATTGATTGCCTGTCATTCACTAGTGAATATGGGTATGTCTTTAATTTGTTAGGATGAAATCGATTCTCTCTTATCCAAGAACTACATATAACCTAAATATTTGGTTGGTTTAGATGTTTAATGACTTTATGAATATCTGGCACTGTCAGTCTTGATCATTGGAGAAGGCTCACAGTTCCTTGGGCATCCGGGTGTTTGCTGTAGTCATGCCCAGGGCTCTGGCTGTGCATGTTTAACTTCCCAGCATTCTCCACCCCCTTCCCAAAAGTGCAACATGACATAGCTGTATCTCTGTCTATATCAGTGTAATTTTGTACTGAACTTAAGGCATCCTGGAATACAATTTTATCAGAATTTCAGTTACCTAAGCAGAAGGAATTTTCACATGTGGGTCCATGTGGCAGATTCTCTTCACTGTTGCCCACTTCTCACTCCCAACATCTGGTAGAATAGAAACAAATTCAATATGGAGTTTAGGCCCAAAAGTATATTTTTAAGTAGCAGCAGAGCTGAGCAACTTACATGTTACATTTCTTCATAGGTGTAACTCAGGATAAGTGCAATTATTTTACCTATGGGGTAGCTGGAACCAGCAGTCTCTTTAAAACTCTCTTCAGACAATGGAGCCTAAAAATGAGATCACTCCATATTATCCATATATTAAAAGTATTTTCATTAATTGATTCATTGAAAAAGTTAATAACTTTATTCTACTTAACATCAAAGCATTTTTATGTCCTTCAAAGAATAAATATCATTACATAAGAAACCACAAAATATGGAAAATTAAATTGATTTTATATGCTTGTAGTTGCTATGTTTTAACTTACCCTACCTGAAGCAAGTTAATTGTAGAGGGTGATTGCTTATACATAAAACAGATTTTAAAATGCTCTGCCATTCTTTATTTACAGGCTCATATAGAAGACATAAGCGGAGAAGAGTACATAGTATTTGGAATGGTCCTCTTTCTATGGGAACATGTGCCAGCATGGTCGGTGGTAGTGTTTTTCCGGGCGCAGAGATTAAACCAGAATTTGGTATGATATCATAATATTCCCTAATACCTGTTCTCCTTATTTTTAAAAATAATGAACATTTATATTGACTTTCTATTTTTGGCCAAGTTTAAGACTAAAAAGCATTATAGATCCCAGCCTCCTTTCTTAGTTGAAAAGTAAATCTTCACATGCTATCTCATACTTTGTTCACAGACACCTGCTGGCATGATAAATAGTCACAGTTATAGTTCCAGAGCTTACTTTTTCGACAATCCAAGACGATATGATAGTGATGATGACTTGCCAAGACTGGGAAGTTCAAGAGAAGGAAGGTAGATGTACTGAATTAGTACTGAAATAAATTGAAAAGAACAAATCTAAGCTTTAACCCAAACATGAAAAAGGTGATTTGGTGATATATGTCAATAAATAAGATCATTTAATATTGAGGCTTAGAGCAGTACGTAGATGTTAGACCTGTGGTGGGACCTGTACTATACATAACTATCCTCTAACTCTGTGCCCCTATAGTACCTTTATTTAAGAAATGCCTTTGGATAAAATGGTACCATTTCATTTCAGGGTCCCTTGTTGGTTCAAAGCTGGGAGGGTTGATGAGCAGGGAAGGAATACTATTATAGTGATTATATATGTTTCTATATCTCTAGTGCTATTCAAAATCCACAGAGAACCGCTACAACTCTTGGGAAGCTTAGGTGTCAAAGGAAATCTGTGCCCTCCTTATTCCAAAACCACTGCAAGTCCATACCATTAGCTGTGTATCAAGGCAAAGTGAAAGCCTTAATGCACACCTACATCATGCTCTGAGCTTGATACAGCATCTCCTGTAATCCCAACTTCATCTGGACAAGTAACCTCAGGTTTTTGAGCCTGTTTTTCCATCTGTGAATAGGGATGATAATAGAACGTATCTGATAGGATTGTGTCAAGATTAAATGAGTGTATGTGTGTGTGTATACATAATTATACATATATATACATACATACAAACATCTCCTAGAATAGAGCCTAGTACTTAAGTACTACATTATTATAATCAAGTTCTACTAGTTCTGAGTAGTATTTATTCATACTTTTGTAATATGTGATATAGAATCAAGGATATTAGATAAAAGGCATTAAATTTTGTAGAAAGCCATTATGTTATTTGGCAAAGAATATATTTCAATATATAACTGTATTGTAAAATTCCTTGAAAACTAAAAATGCCCAAGTGACTTATTATATCCTGATCATAGTCCTATGGCTTTTTTGCCTTTTTTTGTTGCAGTTTATCAAATTCACAAGGTTTGGGCTGGTATGGCAGCATGACTGGGTGTGGCGGCAACAGTTACACAGTCTCTCCCCACCTGAATGGACCCATGACAGATACTGCTCCTTTGCTCTTTACTTGTAGTCATTTAGATATGAACAGTCACCCTACCGTATACGTAACACCACAAAACTGACAGCATTACCAAGTCGTGATTCTTCAGTTGTGTTTCATCAATGTGTTTTACTCTGCGTGTTTCAATTCCATCTACATGAACATTCCATTGTCTGCTGCAACTGAGAACAAAGCCTGGAAATGTGGCTGTGTTCAGCAGAGGACACAGCTGGTACTTTTGACGTCTTCATAGTAAAATGAAGTAAAATGGAAAGTTGGGAATGGGAGAAAAGAGGGAATAGATCTTAAGGCACTTGATGGCCTCCACACATCCTGACTTTGGAACATCAGATGCATATTTGCAGTTTTATCTTTATTCTGAAAGAGTACACTGCAGTCCCAAAGTCATACTCCAGTGTTTACACAGGGATATTATATCGTACACCAAATGGGAAGGCAATTTCCTACAAAAATCAAAGCCTTTATATTCAGTGGTGTACTCTATGTGGAATTCTTACCCAATAAAAATTTTAGTGTAAACATTGCACAGAATTAAGGCATAAAAATGTATCATTCTTTTTAAAAATCTAAAATATATGTGATCATTGAAGATCTCTTAAGCATGATTGTAAAATACCACCTGAAATTATTCAATCATTTTAAACAAATGATAGTAGTAATCCTTACAGTGATGACCAGCAGTGTTCTTTGGAAAGCCACAGTCATTTCTTCAAGAGGAAAGTATACCAGTAAAAATTACGTGGCTACTTTGAGTAGAATTGGTCGAGTGATTATTTTGTATGATTAAGATATATGTAGTAGTTTAAGCATGATTCTTCAAGAAAGCAATAGTGATTTTTGCATACGGAGATTTTGGTGGAAACTTCTTGGGACTAAACAAGTTTACAGATGAATTGAAGAATTATTCATAAATGTATAATTCTAAATTAAAACATGAATACATTTTCACAAGCATTCAATTTAGCTGAACCAAGATATAGCTGATCTTACCTATTTGAGTCAGGATTGTCCTCAGGTAAATTAAATCATCATACATTATTGCAGTGAACTCAAGTGCAATACTTTGTAAGACATATAATTCCTTCTCTACTTTTCATATTTTTATATCTTGTATATGGGCAAAGCCAAATTAAATTTAATTCAAATTAATTCCAGCAATAGACTAAATGAGCAAACTTGTGTAAAGGTACCAATTAGGTAAGTGTAAAGCCCATGGTTAACAATATGGGAATACTTTTAGAATTACATTAAAACTGTCTTGAATGCCCTATCCCAAATCTTAAAAAAAATATGGTAAGCTAAGGTAACAGTGAATTTTAAAATGCACTTTCTACCCGTGTCCATATGGAAAGAAGCAGAGGCTGAAACCTCAAGATGCCAAGGGGCCGGGCAGCAGAGGCGGTCATGACACACGCAAGGGCTGACTGCATGCGCTGTCCTGCTGGCCTGTTCCTTCAGAACTGGAGCTCACACAGCTGTCCTTGGCTGTCTGCTACTTTGATTAGAAAGTTATGTTTCATTTCTACTCTTACTTAAAATACCTTTCAACTTTTTAATAATTGATTTAGTAACTTCACAAAAGTGTAACAGTAGGTGAAACCCCAAGGAATAAATGAAATTTTAGTGCTTTTGGTCTTTGGAGAGGCTGGTACACAGCCAAAGAAATTTCTTTTTTTATCATACAAAATGACTCTGAATTTAATCAGAAGCATAAACTTATAAATGTTACTTTGAGCTTGCTTGTAATAAGTTCTCTCATTGTAATCAAATTATTTTAAAATTTACAGTACAGAAATCAACCTTGGTATTATTAACATGACAATATTACATGCACTTAACTGAGTATATTTTGATTACAACTTCAGTTATTTCTTTTCAGAATGCTAACTAGTTCAAAGTAATAAAGTAAATGTTTTCTAATAAGGCTTCCCTAGATATAATGTTCCTATTAGACCAGATAAGTAAAGATTACATTTTAAAAATATTTCCGATAAAATAACTTGGTTCTTTCAGCTGCATCAGTTGATTCTTCCAAATTTGAGATCAGTACGTTCATTCTTATCACTAAGGGTACCTGAATTCTTGCATTTGTCTCCTTATACACCTCTCCCACAATACATCACCAAAGACAAAGAAAGATGAGCTTCCAGCCCAGTTTTTGCTTAAAAATTCCAAAGCACTAGGAGCACTTTAAGTTTGGTCTCACAAGGAGTTGCTGATAAGATCAAAGGGCTACCGATTCCCTGTTCATCCTGCACTGAAGCACGAGGACAATTTCAAACCTTCCTTTTTGGTTCATTAATTAGAACAGTGAATTTCATTGCTTAAGTGTGTAATTCTACAGTGATTAGCAGTATTTGTTTGTATGGTTTCATTTGGTGGCTATGAATTTTAATACTCGTACCACTCGCCATAGTGGTTGTGGTTTTATGAAAGATGTAAGTCACAGCTCAAGCAGCCTATTTACGCATAGCTGCCTTTCTTGTTAACAGTGTTTCTCAGCTACGTAATCAGTTCCAAACTGGTTGTAAAAGTTTAGCTGTGGCCAATGAATGTATTTATTTGTTGTTTCACTAAATTGTAATAAAACACTACTGATAAAAATAAAAGTGTTTGTGCTTTTATGTGGACGTCTGGTTTTCTTAATCTCTCTTAATGGACCACACTGATTGAGCTTCTGTCATATAAGAACCCTGATGCTACCAAAGAAAAGAGAAAAACACCAAGATTACAAATGCTAGTTTGCTCTAGATGTCATGTCACTTAGTATTACACACTAATTTGATATGAAATGCCATACACTTTTTTTTTTATAATTTTATTTATTTTTTTCTCCCCAAAGCCCCAGTAGATAGTTGTATGTCATAGCTGCACATCCTTCTAGTTGCTGTATGTGGGACGCGGCCTCAGCATGGCCGGAGAAGTAGTGCATTGGTGCGCGCCCGGGATCCGAACCCGGGCCGCCAGCAGCGGAGCGTACGCACTTAACTGCTAAGCCACGGGGCCGGCCCTGAAATGCCATAGACTTTAAAATACCAATATGTTATTAGATAGTACTCATTTATTCAAACATTAAGCTAAGAAAAATCCTTCTATGAAGTAAGTTATAGTACTTCTCCCCTTCCCCTTAGAATCTTAAACAGGAATAAATTTATCTAGCCCATAATCCTGGGCAGCTATTCTTTGATTATTCAAGCAATTCCTCAATGTTGCTGCCTTTTCCCTTGAAAGAAGAGTTCTTATTTTTCCCATAATAGACTCCTTTCATAGACCGCCAAAACCACACCAAATTTTGAATACAATTTCAGGAGCTTTACTGACCAAGTCTACAAATCCTTGGGGCTCTACTTATCTTGCTGTAAAGAGTATTTGGAGTGAAGGAATGACCTCAAATATAATAAAGTTGTCACTTTAAAAGCAATTTATTCAACAAACATTAAGTGTTCATATGCCAAAAACTATGCTATGGAGATGCAAAAATAGATCAAGTTCCTTTTCCTGCCCTTAAGGAGCTCACATTCTAGTGAAGAAGGCTTTAAAAAATAAAAATAATACAGTACAGTGACACAATAGAGGTAGGTTGTAATTACAGTGGTGACACAAAAGAAGTTAGAGGATCCTCCTTGGATGGAGCAAGGGAGAGTTCACTGAGGTGATGTTTGGTGCGGGCCTGCGAGGAGACAGAACTTGTCCAGGTGGAGGGGATGGCCAGGGCACTCGACGCAAGGAGAGCAGCACACACAGAGGAGCGAGGCCTGGCCCCATGCATCTGAAGAACCGTAAGTAAGTTTGTTTACCAGAACACGAGGGAGGGGAAACACCCAGCAAAGGGGCTCGGCTTCCTCCTGAAGGTTCGTGAAGTCACTGAAGGGTGTTAAGTAGGGAGAACACTGGTAGAATGCGTCTAGAAAGCCCACCCTGGGAACACTGGAGCAAAAGAGAGGAGACAGGCTGGGTATAAGGAGACGGGTTAGTGTAGTACTCTAGCTAAAGAGCAATGAAAATGGAAAGACAGTGATGTATCAGAGATATGGAGATAAAATCCGTAGCGCTTAGACACTGACTGGATGAGGGAGAAACAGGAGAGGAGCAAGCCTAAGGAATTTAGATGATCATGGTTCTGAAATTTACCAAGATAAGGAATATAGGCATAAGAGGAGACTTGGGGGAGAATGATTGTTTTAAGACACACAGGTGTCTACAGGACAACCAAGTAAAGATATGCAGTAGGCAGATGGATTAAGAAATCTAGACTAAGGAGAACTTAGAAATCGTTGAATTGGAATTACCCGAGAGTAGAGGGGTGGTGATTAGAGGAAGAATGAAACCCAGGAATAACATTTAAGGCATAAATGAAAAGAGGCTAAAAAGGAGGCATTCAGGAGCAAGTGAAACATAAGGAACCCAAGGAAAAAAAGATTTTTAAAGAAGGGGCTGTCAACAGTGTCAAGTGCAGAAAAAACATAAGAACTGGCCTGTGAACTGAGCTGTGGGTTTTGAGTTGGGATTTTAGACTTCAAAGGAAGAGATTGTTAACTATGGAGCCAAAAGCCAGATTTTAGTTAAGGAGCAAGTGGGAGGTGACAAAGTGAAGACACGAATATTCTCTCAACAAGACTGGCTGATACAAAAGGGCAGGGACACAACACGAGCAAGAGGTGCACAGACCAAGTCGCCACTTAAACCCAGCTACAAAGGTCCTTAAAATGTATATACGCTGCTCACTTCATAGTCCTTGGAGTCTCTAAGAATACTGACAATTAGTAGGTTAACGTCTTTCTTTTCCTGCCCTATTCAAACGAGGGGGAAAGAAAAATAGAACATATATTGTTAAACTTAGCTCTGTGATTATTCATTTAAAATATACTGGTTACATATTCACACATTCAATAAATATTTATTGGATACCCACTATGTGCTTGACACTATACAAGGCCTTAGGGACACAGAAGAAAAACTACAGCAGTGTAAAATTACAATTCTAAACCATTATATAAATAAACCCTGCTTTATTAATAATGTGACATCTCAACATGGTATACCTGCAAAGACAAAGAAAACACATGATTTTGAGGTACACAGTTTCTTTTTTCCCTACAATTACCATGTGATATAAATTCTTAAAGCCCTTCAAATATTTTTATCATTGAAGAGCTTCCACTAATGAAAACCTCCCAAAATTACGGTTTAGTTTTAGGGAGAAAAATGAAATGAACCTCATGTACAAAAGACAAACATTACTTGCCCTATGACTATATAGATCAAGCATGAAAAGGGCAACAAAATTCAAAAAGAACTTTAGAGACAGGAACTTGAAATGATTCCTTTTTCTAAGGCTTACAGTATTAGGGTTCCAGGAGTTTTTTTCTGAAAAAAACATTTTTAAAAAGTTATTTGGTATATTACACACTGAAGTATTTAGGGTTCAAAGGGCATGAGGCCTATAACTGACTTTCAAATGATTGAGGAAACAATAGTATTTGTATGTATATATACAGAGAAAGCATTAAAGATAAAGCAAATATGAACAATTAGTGAATCTGGGTAGAAGAGTTCTTTGTACTATCCTGGAAACTCCTCTGTAAATTTGAAATTATATAGAAATTAAAAGTTTCCCTCAAATTCTGTTCAGTATTAGGCAAAGCATTATGAGAGTAAATATGTAAATTTATTCAAATTTCCACAATGTGTAGAGATCCCCTACGACTTGTGAGTTGTCACTGTACCTTTCTATACACCCAAACAAGCCAATGAAAATAGCAATATACCCTCCAAGTGATTTGTTTCCTACCAATGTATTTTAGGGTTGCCAGATAAAACACAGAACTCCCAGTCAAATTTGAATTTTAAACAAGGAATAATTTTTTGGTATAAGTATACCCCAAATATAGCATGCAACATACTTATATTAAAAAACTACTTGTTTATCTGAAATTCAAGTTTAACTGTATTTTTATTTACTATATCTGATAACCCTAAATGTACTGAAAAATTTTGGGCTGTTAATTATGGGTCATTCATGAGCCTCATTAGCATTTTCCTATTAAACACTTGTCACATTGGCCATAGTTTTATTTATATTACATCTTCTTACACAGAATTCTAGTTTGAGAGACTTAAAACATCATTTACTTAGTTTTACCATATATGAATTTGATAACCCTGATTTTATTCAATACTAAACTTTAAAATTTGTACCACATTATCAAAGTATTACTTTTACTCACAATAATATTATACATAGACTTAACACAATTAAAAAAATGTTTACTTAAAACAACATAATTCCCCTTTTACAAAAGTAGCTTTATATAAAATGTTTGGTTTAAGATATCACTGCTATTATGCCTTTGAATGAAATTCCACTCTTTGGCCTCCATTGTCCAGAAACAGGCACATTTCAACTCATTTTCTTTAATGAATATTTTGTAACAAGTTCCTGAAGTTTTCTAATTCTTTCACACTTGTAGAAATTCTGTAACAAAAAAAAATTTCACTTAAAAACTATCTTAGATAACTTTTCTCTGTAAGTTATTCACTTCGCATTTTTAGAGCACAAAAAAACTTTATTTCAACAAATGTAAAGGTGCATAGACAATTTAATCTACTTTGATAAAAGTTCTTAATCTGACATGGTAAAACTAAGATAATATTGCCTAGAAATTAATTATTTTTAAGTATTCATAACAGTATTATTCATAAACAGTATTAAAGTTTTAAAATACAGAATTATAAAGTATATAAATATTAAAATAGTTAGGTATTTTAAGTATTCAGAAGTGTATTCATATGCTTGGTATTTTAAGTAAGTATAAAGTATATGAGCATTAAAATATGTATTTTAAATAGGCATAAGTATATGAATACTTAAAACTAATCATTATACCATATTTAGTAAATATACAAAGAATCAAAGCTTTTAGACCACAGTGAGAATAGTAAATGTGTGACCAAATTGTTTCCACTAATTTTTATAAAAAGTCAAGTTAGTTCATTATTTTCGTGTCCTTTAGCTCTGCTCTCTACTGTGAAACAAGCAGCAGCTATGCAATGAAACAGAACTGTCAAGCTTCTGTGTACCAAAGAATAATTCTGAAGATCATTTCAAACCCAAAATAACAAATTGTAATTTTTTTAAAGTGAATAAACAATAAGAAAAAGTTAGTTTTTATAAATCTCTATATTCTTTACATATGTCAAGCCAGAAGAAAATGCATCTATACTTAAATTTTACAATATAAGTTCCTCATTTCAAGCTTGTGGTCTACAACATTCTTATAAAAATATTTATCATTTTTATAAAAATTATTATTTTTAAAAAATTAACCTTTTTACATAATGATGAATCCACAAGGAAATTTTACATGTACACCTATATTAACCAATATGATTTTTCCAGGACCTTCAAAAAAATATTTGGGCAGCACAAAAAAGTACTTTTAAATAATTAGAAAAATACACACGTTCAGTAAGATGAATATTGAAGTCCAATGAGTAAATTAATCATGATTATCAAAGTCAACAGACGAAATAAAGAACATCATCGAATGACTGTATGAGTCTCCATACTTAAAGTATTTCCTAAGACCACAGAATTCTGTAGTGAGATAATTTCACTAAAAAGGATATTCCTTACCCGGTTTTATCTGAGAGTATACATGTTGCATTAGACTTACTTGGCTAGCAGAAACAATTTCAGTACATTCAAACTAACCTTCCAAATGCATTAAATAAAGATACTATTTCTTGTCTGGTTAGATAGAATTCATAACTGGGCCCACTTTCTGGCATATTTGCTATCAGTTTCTCAGAAAACAAGATCTTCAGAGCAGTACCCAAACCCTGAGTCTATAATAGAAATAAGAAAAAAGAAAATCAGAAAATTCTTTGTGCAAAAAAAAATCAGAAAATTCTTTGTGTGAAGAATAAAAAATAGGATTGAGATAGATTTGCTTACCTGAAGCTTTCCCCACAGTCGACATTTAAAACAACCAACACAATCCATGATTCTTGAAATATTTCTAAAATGCAGTCGAAAGTCCTCCTAAAAACAATTTAACAAAATTTCATTAAGATGTAGTATTACAGTCAAATACTAAGTTTTCTCTGAGTGCCTTCTATGTGCCTAACACTGTGTAAGGTGCCGTAGGTACCAAAAAAGGGGAAGAGAGTTAAAATCAGCATTCACTGCGCACGTCCTACACACCAGAATCTTTATATATACAATTTCTTCTTCATCACAAATCCAAAAGTACATATTATTATAATCTACATCTAATGAATTAAAAAAACAAGGTTCAGAGAGGTGAGGTAAGTTGCCTGAATTCCCATATCGAGTAAACAGCAAACTTAGACCTCAGGCCTGCCTGACTCCAAAAGCTAAACTATCTGCAGATATATACAAGGTAACTGAGTTGAGGGGTTCTGCTCTATGTGATTATTAACTATATGTCAACATCGGGGGAGGGGGACTGGGGTTTGGATGGCATCATTTACCAGGAGGGAGGGAGGGAGGAAAGGAAGGAGGGAAAAATAAAAATCTTTGGTTTCATAACAGTTATATTAAAGCCCTTCTTTCTGGTATTAATTAGGTAAAACAATCGGATCTTCTTTTATTATTATTTTTTTTAAGATTTTATTTATTTATTTTTCCCCCCAAAGCCCCAGTAGATAGTTGTGTGTCATAGCTGCACATCCTTCTAGTTGCTGTGTGTGGGACGTGGCCTCAGCATGGCCGGAGAAGCAGCGCGTCGGTGCGAGCCCGGGATCCGAACCCGGGTCGCCAGCAGTGGAGCGCGCTCACTCAACCACCAAGCCACGGGGCCAGCCCAGATCTTCTTTTATTATCATGCAGAAATATACAAACTATAATGAATATCCATGTACCCTTCACCAAGTTTTAGAAAAAACCTTTACAAGTACGATTAAAGCCCTCTGTGTATCCCTCCAAAGTCCTATTTCCCACCCTCTATAACTATTCTGAATTTGGTGTTTATTGTTCCTTTTTTTTTTTTTTTTTTTTTTTTTAAAGATTTTATTTATTTTATTTTTCCCCCCAAAGCCCCAGTGGATAGTTGTATGTCGTAGCTGCACATCCTTCTAGTTGCTGTATGTGGGACTCGGCCCCAGGATGAACGGAGAAGCGGTGCCCCAATGCGCACCCGGGATCCGAACCCGGGCCACCAGCATCGCAGCGCGCGCACTTAACCACCAAGCCACAGGGCCGGCCATATTGTTCCCTTTTTTGTTTTTATACTTTTAATATATATGTATATATCCATGAACACTGGGTCTATTGTTCATAATAGGGCAACATGCACCCAGCTCATCCAGAAGTGGTGTATGTCCTTAAGGAATGAGGAGAAAAGAAGGGAAACCAAGAACACATCTTTCTTTTACTCCAATGGAAATTTTTAATTTATCCTCCAAGTGACTCCCTCTGTCCTGGACTTATAATGGAATCCCAAGCTTACAGTACTTCAAGCAGGAAATCTGACACATATTTCAGATAGAATATCCATTATATCAATTGGCCTATAATTTGGGGAGCACATCGTGTTTCTTTTTTTTTAACGTGATAAACCACACTCTGGACTCAACCAGAAGAGAACATGACCAAAGATCTAAAAATGGGAATCAATCAGCACAAATTGGAACCCACTCTTCAGCACAGCCCTCAGTCGACTCCAGAATGGTCTTCCCCAAGGTGCTTTATGCAGCTGGAGACTGAAACAGCAGGAACATGTAAAAGATTTTTAATAGGATCCTAGATCTCACATCCTTATTAATACAAATTTTGTATTAATTTAATACAAGTCCAAATTATTAACATTATTACCCATATATTAGCAATATTCTATATCTTGTGTTTTTGTACCTTTTAGACTGAGTTCAGTAAGAGGTAATTCTAATTTTAATCCACTTTTAAAAAATATTTACCCAGTAATATTACTCTAAGTAGATTTTGGTGATTTGATTTGAGGTTTCCTTTGAATTTGTGTTTCAACCTTGAATTAAAGAAAAATCACACTTTTAACAATAACAGGGTAGTAAAATTACTCTGAAGTATATGTTCCCTTCTATGAGGTGTTGACCTCTGCAGGATTTAATAGTTGCTATAGAGGCCTAGAAAATCCCTATGTAGACAAGCATTGTACAGACAGAATAAACTGCTCCCATATGTGCACTATAAATTTCCAAATGGATACAAATGTTATGATCAATAAAACACAACTTTTACCTAAAAAGTGTTCCTAAATGCACAATGGCTTTTTGGCAATTATATTTTCACAACAAATAGATACTAAAAATACCACTGTCCTGGGGAAAGAAAGGCCTTCCAAGTTTTTGACTTTAAGAGACTCGCATCCTTGTCAAGGTTGGAAGCCCCTGTTCTAAAGGACTGTGCTTGCTTTTGCAGACATTGTCTAAGTTCAGTATTTGAATTAACATCGATTCAGTGTACTTGACTGTGGCAGCTCTTGAGTACACCTTCATATGGCACATACAGAAAGTAAGCATGGTTGCTTACAAGGGCCAAAATAACACTGCAAAATTAAAACCAAGCACAAGTGCTTAAGTAAATTTAGTATGCTAAAACCAAATTAATAAACTAGAAATTTACTAGATGAGAAATTCCTTGTGACTTCCACAAAACCATGTCCAATAACCTGAGTATAAGTATTCCAGAGTTATCTCAGATTAGAAAAACTTATGATCCTTAAAATAAGCAGAACCTAAACTGCTCACACAGTCTCTTTGTTTATGGACACGGTTTTTAGGTCAACACTTAACAGTGACAGCGAGCGGGGAGAACGATCAGACCTGCTGTGGTTAAAGACTGTGACTGACAGACAGTGGGACCAACTGACCAAAACCAATTCTTACCCAATTCTCAAATGTCTTATAAGCCTTTGAGATGCTCTTCTATTTTGAATTGAACATTAAACAATTCTCTTTCACACAAATCTATTTCTAACCATACAGTGATAGAGTATAAAGCAGATAAGATGACATTTTAAAATGAATTTATAAATGTGACTATTCAAATCCATGATGTTCACCATAAACCACTTTTTTTAAAAAGTAAATATCTGATATTAACAAGTTTTGTTCTTTTACTCCGTTCTTGTAAAAGGATTCAGAAAAATTATCTGTTAAACTTCATGGGACGTCAAAGCTGAGGGTTTCAGAGTTTTGATAAAATTAAAACATTGTGAGAAATATTCTAATCTACGCAATATAAAAAGAGTGTATGCCAAAACACTCTCCAATAAACCAGCAAGGGTACTAAAAATAAGGAAGGTATCAAAAACAGTAGGGAAAAAAGTCTTATTAAAGTACCTTCTCCCTCACTTCCAAGTTCCTGGAAGCTGTCTGGGACGTTATATAAATACATTATTTCTGAGTATATATTTCTAGTAAGAATGCTTTAAGTAGGTAGGAGGTATGGGAGGTCAAAGATAACTATTATCTAACGGCAAAAAAACTGAGTGCAAAAAGAATTTTGTTTGCAAGCTGCATAAAATCAGGTTCTTTCATTATAGAAAGAAACAAAGAACAAGAAACAAAGGAAGATTGTTTGTTATAAATATTCTGATGAAATCAGATCAAGCCCAGTGCTACTGAGGCCCACCTGCCCTTACTTACCTACAGCTGTGTACCTGAGAACAGTAACAGAATTTTACTTGAGTCCCCAAATAGACCAGAAATCCCTTGAGGGTAGGAGCTGTCTCTTGCCTTAATGACAAAAATCATGATCTGCACATAGCGAGTGTTTAATAAATCTTCCTAGCAATATTTTATATTTGTAGTATTCTGAGGCAAATATATACAAAGACGGTCTTGCCCAAGTTTTAAGAGGCAAGGCTAAGACTAAACTCCATTTTGTGGGGTACCAGGTCGTCTGCTCTTTCACAACTGCACGCTGGCATTCCTAAATGCCTTCCATTCCCAGTGAGTAACATGACCGACGAAACAACACTGTGCCCTCTCCCACTAAAGAGGATCCTTTAATTGAACTGAAACCATTTTCAGAACTCTCTTCAGCAGCAGATGGAATAACACTGCCACTCATGTTCTAGATCCCGTTCTCCGAATTCATGACCTCCATTCATTACACGAGACCCTCAGTGTGAGAGCCATCTGTACGCGGTACAGTGAGACACAGATTTCAGTGGTTATCTTGAACATAACACAAACTAGATCTTAAGTTGGGCCTGCCTTTGGCCTTCATTTTTTTGAGGAAACAAAAGATTATGACTGATTTTTCTTATAATTTCAGGATATATATGAAGATTTATTAAGTATAAAAATGTGGGCTTACATTCACAGCTGCATAAGAGTTTGTATTTAAAAAGTGAAGTTAAAGTATAAAATAATTACCTTTAGTTTGTTTGCTTCTTTTTTATCCCCAGCAAAAAATGAATTCTCATCAAAATGCAAAGGAAATGACCTGCATTTTAAAACACAGAATATTCATTTTCATGTAATATAAAATATGACAAGTCCTGCTGATGCAACCTTCTGCTGGTCAGTGAGGGATAATGTCATTAAAACAGAGTAGAATATACAGTGAAATCAACTCTCTGATGCCCCAGAACAAAGTCTTATCCTCAAACATAAAAGTCTAATACAGTAGAAGTTTGGCCCCAAAACCCTATCTGTTCAACTAAACATGAAAATAACGCAAGTACCAAGTATTAAAAGAATGGCTCTTAAAACTAAACATATGTGCCTTTTAGTACCCAGGTAAAAACAAAAACAAAAACAAAACTCAATCTAAAAGACCTATGAGCAAAATTAGCTTTTAATTACTTTTTACAGTTTTCCTTTCTCTAAATTGAATATTTAGGAATTTAATTTTAGATACCACTTGTCACTATTCTATTAATGTGTAGTTTAATATACAATTTACTTGATTTCATGAAGTATTTCCAGAAGTAACATTTTGTTTTCTGCATCCTGAATTTTATTTCCAGTGAAGAGTTGAAAATCTGGGCGCTCAAAGAATGGTACCACTTTAGATAAAGCCCTTAATTCTATTAAGTAGAGAAAATACAAGTTCTTAAGCCTTCTTGGACCTTCTCCTTCAGTCAAAATTGCATCAAATCGCTGCTGAAATTCTGTAACGTTGTGTCCCCATTTCTTTTCCAACCAGGTATCTGAAAAGAAAGAAGAATTAAATATTAAAAACTGAATTTTAAAATTAAGTAAGATTCATTTTACTTAGATTAATTTATGCCTGCAGAAGTTAATTTCACTTTATATTTTAAAATATATAATGAATATAACCATGAAAACTGTTTTTTTATAATTTAGCCTTTAATAGTTATATATTAATATTTTATCTTCTAGAACCAATCCTTAAAAGGAAAATAAATTCAATGTTTTAGTGAGAAACAAGGTTTAACAAAAATCAAATTTCTGAATATAAACATATTCATAAAACCAAAATGCACAATCAAAAAATGATTCATTGAAATTACTAATGAGTTTGAAACTCTATTTAAAATTAAAGTTACTATATTTTGTTTCTAAGACTTGAGAGAGACTTTAATTCCAGAAGAACTACATTACTGATGAAAACCAACCATGGTCTCATTTTTCAACAGCGTTCTTAAAGCACAAAGAGCAGCAGAAAATGCTTTTACCCACTAAACTCCAGGTCTGGTTGGCACACAAATAAAAGGGTTCTGATACAGTAACATCAATAAAGAACAAAGGGAGCTGTTAGGAGCTGTCTGAATTCCCACAAGAAAAGAACATTTCCAAAGTCATGTGTACAATTTTGAGCAGCTTCTTAAAAGAAGGTGAAGAGAGCTAAGATCATGCTGAACTTTTTCTTATACTATCTATAGTTCCTACATTCCTGATTACTACCATTTAAGAATGAATTTTTACTAATATTCAATATGGTCAATCTTTTCCCATTCATGTAAATTACCAAGAAAATTTAAAAGAATACCTGAAAATAGGTGTGGTAAAGTGAATGTTACATACCCTGTAGAAGATATCGTGCACTCAAATGCACATTAATACTTGCATGTAGGCCAGATATAAGTCTGTAGAATGCTCTTTTTTCTACACAGAGGCCTAAAAAAAGCAATTTGGAAATAGAAATTTCATAAGTGATACTGGTAAGATATAAAATTAATTTCATGTCTCTTTAAAAATGAGAAAAAAATCTTATTTAAATTTGTTTGAAAGTTTCCAATTACCTTCTAGCCAACTGTAAAAAGTGTTCTCTGAAATTAAAAGAAAAATAAGTCACAAGATTGTAAAAATGCCAAAATGTATGTTTTTCAAAAGTTTTAAAATATTATAGCAAATTTGTGCCCAACTGATTTAAAGACTGTTTAACTAAAGGTCCAAATTTTATTTGCAATTTCTCCAGAGGAAGGAAGACAGTTCCCAGTATGGATTCAGTCAAGAGCTGCTCTGCCATTCAGTCCCCAGAGGGCGCTGGCATGGCCTTAGGTAGCTCCCGTCTCACACCTTTCTGGATGAAGTGTTTTATATGGGGTCAAAACAGAATTTAGGGGCCGGCCCTTGTGGCTTAGCGGTTAAGTGCACACGCTCCGCTGCTGGCAGCCCAGGTTCGGATCCCGGGCGCGCACCGACGCACCGCTTCTCTGGCCATGCTGAGGCCGCGTCCCACATACAGCAACTAGAAGGATGTGCAGCTGTGACATACAACTATCTACTGGGGCTTTGGGGAAAAAAAATAAATAAATAAAATCTTTAAAAAAAAAAAAAACAGAATTTAAATGCTAAATCAATACATGGAAAAATACTTAGCCTTGATAACAGTTCATGCTATGAAAACTAAGAACTCATTATATGCTTTTTTAAATTAGAAAAGTAAATAAAAATTATAAAATAAAATTGGAGGTGTATTATTTGTATATAACTCATCATATTATATGCCATTCAATATCTGAAAAGAGTAATTCAAGGAAATATTACAAAAACCAAATATTACTTATATTCTATGACCTAGTAAGATCACTGTTCATATACTCAGACCTGGCAATTCTTTTAGAATTATGCTCTAAAGAAATAATTCAAAAGAGGGGAGGTATAGTTTATAAAACATGATTATGTTATATACAATTTTTAAAACCTGAAATAACCAAAATGTACAATGCCTAACTTATCATGCCTAACATGATAGAATACTATGTAACTAGTTAACACCATAGAATAATATAAAACTATTAAAATGACAAGAATGTGGAACATGACAATATGTAAAAATGTTTATTTGAAATAATATATTAAAAGGCATAAGAAATAATTATTATAACTATGTATTTGCTAGAGATGGCAAACATTGTACTATACAGTTCTTCTGACCAAAGTTTGTTATAGTAATATTAAAAATGAACCAAACAAGCATAAAAGTACTAGAAGGAATGACAAAGAGAATAAGCAATATATTAGACTATATGAAAACTTAAAACATCTCTGTCAGAAAACTTCACAATGGGCTGGCCCCGTGGCTTAGCGGTTAAGTGCTCGCGCTCTGCTGCTGGCGGCCCGGGTTCGGATCCCGGGCGCGCACCGACACGCCACTTCTCCGGCTATGCTTAGGCCGCGTCCCACATACAGCAACTAGAAGGATGTGCAGCTGTGACATACAACTATCTACTGGGGCTTTGGGGGGAAAAAAATAAATAAATAAAATCTTAAAAAAAAGAAAACTTCACAAACAAAAAGCAAAATGCAAACAAGAAAGTGGGTAAAACATACGTTGCAAACGCAACAAAGGGATAATATCCTAAATATATAAAAAGCTCATAAATGTAATAAAAATGCTAAAGTGCCCATTTAAAATGGGCAAATATGAACAGAGAATTCACAAAGGAAAAAATACAAATGGTAATAGATAAAAATCGCTGTCTCACTAGTAATAAAAAAATGCAAATTAAAACTATAGAGATACCACTTTTAAGAGTAAAGATAAAAATATGATAATACTTAATGACAACAAGGATCAGGTAAAACTAGCTGGCACATTGGAAGGGGTATAAATTAGCACATCCTTTCAATGACAAAAAGCAATCTGGTCATATGTATCAAGAGCCTAAAATGTCCCCATCTTTTGATGTAGTAAATCCATTTCTAGAAATCTAGGCTGTTATTGATGAATGTGTCCCCCCCCTAAAATTCATATGTTGAAGCCCTAACTCCTCATGTGATGATATTTGGAGGTGGAGCCTTTGAGAGGTGATTAGGTTTAGATGAGGTCATGAGGGTGGGGTCCCCATGATGGGATTAGTATCCTTATAAGAAGAGGAAGAGACATCAGAGCTCTTTCTCTCGCTGCCTTGTGAGGATACACCAAGAGGGCCGGCTATCTGCTAGCCAGGAAGAAGGCCCTCACCAAGAAGCAAATCCACTGGCATCTTGATCTTGGACTTCCCAGCCTCCACAACTGTAAGAAATAAATGTCTTTTGTTTAAGCCTCTCAGTCTATGGTACTTTGTTAGAGTGGCCTGAGCTGATGAAGACATAGGCTAAAGAAGCAAGTAGACATGAGAATAATAATATTCAAAACTATAAATATATCTATTATAGAAATATACATATATAAATAATAATTATCAAAATGTTAACAGAGAAGCAGTATGAGGTGGTAGCTAAGAGCATGGAGTCAAACCGTCTGATGTGAATCCTAACTCTGCTGCTTACAAGTCCCATGATTTTGGCTGAGTTGCTCAATCTCTCTGGGACTCATTTTCATCATCTATGAAGTGGAGATAAAAATAAAACCTCCTAGGATTGTCAAAAGGATTAAATGAAATCACATTTGCTCAGAAGAGTACTGGCACATAGTCTTAGCCATTATCATTATCAATTATTTTGGGGTTGTGGGATTACAAGTGATTTGTTTCCAAGTTTTGGACCATGAACTGGGGGAGTGGGAGTGTAACTGCGTGGGACTTAACCTTCCAATGAAATTTTCAGTTCAGTCTTATAATCCTGAAGTAGCTATTCTCACTCGACTTGATTGTGATCCAGTTAGATAATCACCTAATAAGACAGGTGTCAGGGATAACCCTTTCATATTTGACGAAAATGAATACTTATAAATACACTCAAAAATGAGATAGTTTCTCTAAGGATAGCCTCCACAGGTTAAGAACCTTTTCTTTGATAACAAGAGACAGGTGGAGATCTTCAAACAGTACTGAAAAACCAAAATAGCCTCCTCTAATGTAGCTAGAATATAACATAGAACTAAGAACACCCAAGGAACAAGGCTACTCAACTGAAAATTATAGGCTCACCCCACAACAAAATATGAGGCATCTTTGGAAAAATAATCTTACTACTAAAGAATCTGTCTCCCAAATAGTACAGTTCTGATTCAGTATTTTATTTAGCTGCTACCATTACTAAAATATAAAGTACAAAAATAAAATAGCAATGTTATCAGACTTTAGTGTTGTGTTATTTAGACATAACGCAAAAGCAATTCGTAAAAATAATGTTCAGAAGATAGAGGATTTTGAGGGAGAGGAAAGTGATATTTCATATTTTAGCAATTTCTTCCAGCTGGATTAGAGCTAAGTACTGCTTAGTCTTCTCATATTGTTAAACACATGGTCTTAAAAACAACAAAAATAATTTCAATCTCACTCATAAAGCAAAAATATGGTAAAACTTTTACCATTACAATTAACTTAAAGAGTTGGCTGTGATACCTACACCCAAGAGTCAATATAAGCCTTGGAAGCTAGTAGATCAACACTCTGATCACGCCTAGAACCTTCCTACATGAGACCCAGCAGATCCTAGAGTTCAGCCAGGAAAGGAGAGGGATTTTCCCGCACAGAGGCCAGGGGGATGCCTGGCTTCCATGTGCAGAGGGTGAAAGGTACAGCAAAATTATCCTACCCCCGTGCCTGTGACCCCCAGGCACAGCAGTCATTTTCCCTTAACCTGTGCTTTCACCTCCAGAATCTTAGATAAAGAAACAAAAATTAACTTCTTCTAAGTCTCAGATGTGGGAAGAAAAAAAGGGTTTGCCAAATAAACATCTGAATGTATAACTAAATTCACATATGTAATGTAGGATAAAGATATTATACTTACCTTCACTTATCCCTGAAAAACAAAACAAAATGTTTCTTATTATAAACTCCTTCTAGATGCCCCTTTTAAAATGCTACACCTCCATGAAAATAAGACTTTTAATAATGGTTAGTTTTAGTCCATCAGTTCATCCACATAAGCAAAGCAGAGCAAGACATCTGTGACCACACCTCTGCTGGTGGTGACAGGACTCAGGCCTGACCTGACTAGCCGGAGAGCAGCCTCAGCTCGCACAGGATTCACTGCGGGCTGACGGGAAAGATAAGCCTGACCCACCACCAGAGAGCACTCTTAAATACCTTAAGGACATACAGTTATTTGGCTGGCAGAGCCTTTCTCCACATTTATTTATCTTAAAGCTATAACATAGTTTCCACTAAAGATTTGTGTTATTACTTCAAAACCTCTACACTGACATTATAAAATTTTTTTTTTCTTTTTGTGAGGAAGATCAGCCCTGAGCTAACATTTGATGCCAATCCTCCTCTTTTTTTGCTGAGAAAGATTGGCCCTGAGCTAACATCCGTGCCCATCTTTCTCTATTTTATATGGGACGCCCCCACAGCATGGCTTGACAAGCGGCATGTCGGTGCGCGCCCAGGATCCAAACCTGCAAGCCCCAGGCAGCCAGAGCAGAGTATGTGAACTTAACCACTTGCACCCCCGGGCTAGCTCCTAAAATTTTACCTTATTCAGGAATATTTTTAAAGACTATTTGTAAGATTCAAATTATGTACAATTCAGCAGTTTGTATGTAGCTGCTCATTTACCACTGAAAAATTGTCTTTATTTTGCCCACTTTTATTTAATGCCATCATTGTTTGATTATTAAAGTAACATGTGCTCATTGCAAACATATGCTAAAAAAAAAAGAGGACACGGACGAAATAAAAAAGATCATCCATGGGGCCGGCCCCATGGCTTAGCGGTTGGGTGCGCACGCTCCACTACTGGCGGCCCAGGTTTGGATCCCGGGCACACACCGATGCACCGCCTGTCCAGCCATGCTGAGGCGGCGTCCCACATACAGCAACTAGAAGGATGTGCAACTATGACATACAACTATCTACTGGGGGGCTCTGGAGAGAAAAAGGGAAATAAAAAAAAGGAGGAGGATTGGCAATAGATGTTAGCTCAGGGCCGGTCTTCCTCAGCAAAAAGAGGAGGATTAGCAATAGATGTTAGCTCAGGGCTGATCTTCCTAAAAAAACAAACAAAAAAATATCATCCATAACTTCCTCTGCTCAAAGATAAACACCATTTACATTTTGCGAAATGCCCTTTTCCTCTGTGTATAGATATTTAGATATGTTAATTACATTTTTACATATTATACATACGGTTTGATACCTGCTTCTTTTCCTCAATGTGTTATTGATCACTATTGATGTACATGAATACAAATTTTCAGCAACATATGTCAAGGCTGTATTCTACTATGTGAATATACCATAAATCATTTAACCAGTTCCCTAATGGTAAACAATGAAATTGTTCCCATTTATATTGAAGATAAAAGAAGGTGGTTAATTGATCAAATCATGTGAGTTCATAGTGAAAATCACCTTGTCTAGGAATTTGCATTTCATCTGATATTAAATCAATAGCTTCCACTGAGTTACCATATGTGACTCCATATAAACCCAAAAGCCTTGTTTAAAGATGTTCTTTCATTTCTAATCTAAAACAGACTAGTCTGCCAATATTTAGGGAATGATGCAATTTCACTGCTTTCCAGGAGGAAATTTATGTGTATTGACTATACGAGATCAGCAGTTTTCAAATAAATTTTAAAAATTAAAATCTTACACATTTGCTAAAAGCACATCAAAGATTTTATCAGTAAGCACATATTCAGAGAACAATTTCCTAAGGAAAAAGTCTGAAATCATACACTGAAATGGTTTATTCAACAAACCATTCTGCCTATTATAGACTGGGCAGGGTTTGTGAATTTCAATTTTACATCCCATTGGCACCTACACAGTGCCTAGCACATCGTAAACGGTGGACGATCGTTTGTTGAAGGAACAAGTAATTTTCATTATTGTAGACAAGACCTTTAAATGAGGAGAGCAATTTTCATTGATCACTTATCCAACAACTACTCCATCTATTATGTGCCAGGCTCTATAATAAGAGATGAAACCAATAAATGCTACCCATATGTCCCAAGTACTAGGGTAGATCAATAGATATATAAATAACAGTAAAATAATGCTAGACAATGGAAAGGGCTGTAAGAGAAACACCCGTGACATAAGATCACTTCATGAGGAGAGTGAGTCTCCTTCTCGTGAGGAGGACTAGGGAAACGTCTGTGGAAAAGGCAGCATTTGGGCCAGCCCTTGAGTGTAAGTAGAAAATGAAAAATGCTAATGAGATATAAATACATCAATTTGAAATCAGACTCCCAATATATACAATAATTTCAGGTTTGGGGAAAGATTTGAGGCAGATGTTTTGTGGATATTCATTTAACTAGAAAATTAGTAAAAATAGTAGAAAAACTGCACACATTCTGCAAAATGCATAGAAGAATAAATATATAACCTAATCTTCAACCTATGATAGTCTAATACCATGAACTTCATTACAAAAATACTCCTTACTGAAGTGTCTGTGTTTTAAACACCAATTTCTCTGCAAGGGTGAGGCATAACTTCTAGGGAAACAGGAACATATGATCTCAAATGCTCTTGCCAACCCTTGTCTTGCCTTCCCCTTCCCTCTAACCAAACTTCACTAGCTGATAAATAACATAACAGTGCAAATAACTCACCTTGACCAGAAACCAAAGGATTTAAAGGTCTTTTAATGGTTTGTGGCCTAGAAACAAAAGAATTAAAGTATAAAATATACATATGTTACCTATCATGTTAGAATTATTTACGTACAGGTGAAATTATCTCAGAAAGTTCCTTAAGGACTATATCCAAAATCAAATTGTTTTATTAAGCTTATAAAATACTTAGTTTTCTCTAATAGCTTTAAGGGAGGGTGGTTGTTACTTGTTTTAGTGATAATAACTTCTGATCTTTTCCCATCGTAGCAGCCAGAAAGTCATTTCCTAATCACTTCTTCAAAGAGAGGAAGAAAAAATACCAGTCAAGCTCTTCTCCTAGAGTCACTAACATGTTTTCATATATAATATATATACGTGTGTGTGTGTATGGCACAAAGTGCACTTCTAATTGTCAGCCAAATAAGCGAAAAATATAAATACCCAAGACAGCATTAAAATAAAAAAGAGAAAAAACAGTGTGAGTGGATTATTTTCCATTTAGGTAATCTTAAGCACATCAATTTGCCCTGTGGCCATCATGGTTGTTATGATTTCAATAAAAGGTTTTTTTAATAAGAAAAAAAAGAGAGTTAATATGTCACTAAAATGCTTTTACATCTCAAAATAAATATTCATTAGTATCATTAGTAAACTGTAGGGATTGTTTTAATGTCCATTATTTAAATTTTCCAAATTTGCACAACTTGAAACATTCTGAGAACAGAACATGTAAGCTATATTTTAACATACTCAATTTAGTGCCTCATACATTGTTTATATTTTAGCAATATTACGGAAATCATGATATAAATTAGTTGGGAAATAACTACAAAACTAATACAAAATCAAACAAATGCTTCAGATGGACTCTATTTTAGTTCATATTAAAAAAAAAAAAACCTTTAAAGTCAGTAAACTGGGGCCGGCCCCGTGGCTTAGCGGTTAAGTGCGTGCACTATGCTGCTGGTGGCCCAGGTTCGGATCCCGGGCGTGCACCAACACCCTGCTTCTCTGGCCATGCTGAGGCCGCATCCCACATACAGCAACTAGAAGGATGCGGAGCTATGACATACAACTATCTACTGGGGCTTTGGGGGAAAAAATAAATTAATTAAAAATAAATAAATAAATAAAGTCAGTAAACCAAACATTACTAATAATAGTCAAGAGAATGTAAATGAAATACATGGCAGAAATGAGTAAATAATGAAAATTCCCCACTTCCCAAACTGGAGAAATTCTTCAAGTCAAAAAAACAAACATCTGACATTTTATTGGCATAAGCATAACTGTTGATCTCTTATGTTTATATTTGACTTATAAAAACTGAAATGTATTATCTCCACATCTGGGAATTCCAAAGATTTTCCCAGAATTCTCCCCAATCTCTGAGATAGCATAAAACACACACACAAACACAAATATCTTCCAATAACCAGAAAGCACATTGCTTAGACCCTAGGGGCTTACAAGTAGGTAAACTTGAAGCATGTCTCAGTTACCCAGGGATCAAATCGACGGCTTCCATTGTAGTGGTTAAGAGTATAAAGTAGGTCCTTCCACGTACTAGATCTTTGACACTGGACAAATCACTTAACCTTTCCCAGTCTCAGTTTCACTGATGACTACAACATGGGGTTATTGCAAAGACTAAAGGAGAAAATGTATGTAACATGCTTAGCACAATGCCTGGCACACAGTGAGCGCTCAAAAGTGCTGGCTATCATAATTATTCTCTGAAATTAATTTAACTTTAAAGTGGGTGAAATAACTCTAGCCACAAAAACAGAAGTACAGAGCACTGAAAAGAGAATTAGGAGTTACATATTCTCATCCATTCTCTGCCACTAACAATATGGTCTTGGGAAAGGAAATAAACCTCTCTGGCACTAGGTTCCTCATCTATAAAATGAGATTCTATCATCCGCTCAAGGAACAGTTGTTAAGTCCCTACAATACTCCCACAAAAGTCTAACACTATTCTGTCTTTTAAAGAAGAAACAAACATTGCTGAAACTCACATCTACATGCTTCCCCAAAGGAGAACCGGATTAATGAATATGTAGGTTTCTATGTCCAAATACATCCTTTAACAGAGTGAATTACATTTGTACTTTTAAATCATTCTGCTTTTGTTTGTTTATAAAGAGAAATCACATCTTCCAAGAATTCCTAAATGAAAATGATATATACTTGAAACAGTTCTCTTCATAGATGACATTCCATATCTTCCAAGCATCTGGTCCCTTGTAACCTGTGTAGCGCTCAGGATTAAGGAGCAAATCTACATATTCAGCATCAGGAGACTGGATGTCTGTAAAATAAAATATTTTATTAAAGCTTTCTTTTCTTCAGTTACCTTAAAGAAGATAGTATACGAGACTGCATTCCATTGATTTCTAAGGCACCACAAATGTAACAATGCATCAGGGATTTAAAAACTTTTCAGCAGAAAGGAGGGAAAAGAGGAAGGAACAAACACAACCACATTAAATGTACACACTGGTTGCAAAAGCCTCCTGCTTTTAGAAATGGTAAAAAATAGAAATACGTGAATTTCAGAATTAAAGGAATATGGTAACTATCCTCATAAGCTATCCAGACAAAGAATATACTATACATTTCCCTCCACATTAACCGCAAGTAGTTCATCAGTAACTAAGTAAATGAAGAAATGTTAGTACCATACACCATTTGTTACCAAACACTCCTTCTCACATGACCACCATCAGGATCCACCACAAAGCTGTCCCAAAGACAGAATCCTAAATATGCAAAGCTGTATGCCGGTTGACATTTGTGTCAGCATTATTTATAAAAGGGAAAATCGGAAGCAACCTAAATGCCCAACAGAGCAGAGCAGTTAAAAGCACAGGCTCTGGAACCAGAGTGCCTGGGTCAGAATCCAGGCCGTGCTACGTCACTGTGGAACCCTGGGCAAGTCAGGTCAATTCTCTGTGCCCTGGTGCCATCATCTGTAAAATGGGGACAACACTCATAGTGTTACTGTGACACTTCAGTAAGTTTATATGGGCAGAGTGCTTAGGACGATAGTAAAAGGAGAATAAATATTAGCTAGTGGTATTGATACTATGATAATATCTTAAAAGACCATTTTACAATCAATAAAACTGTTTAAGTACAAAGCCTATCTAATAAAATGAAAACATAAACAATATAGAAAACTCAATTACAGATATATATGAAAAATATACAAAAATTGGTGGAATATTGGTTTCTCATATGTTCTATATATTTGTATGATGTACTATAACTTCAAAACAAAACAAAAAAATGGCCCCTAGTCCTCCAGGGGCTGTGGGAAATTATTCAATAGCACAGCAATACCTTACTTATCTCTAAAGCCTGACAATATGAACCAACAAAGAATAAGGAAGTGGACGAAAATGGCCTCAAAGCAACCAAAGTAGATGACAAAAATCTGAGCAGAAATGTGTTTACAACAGAATCCATCAAGCTCTCAGTCGTACCTGCTGCTTCTTATTAAAAAAACAAAAATAGGGCCGGCCCTGTGGCTTGGTGGTTAAGTGCGCGCGCTGCGATGCTGGTGGCCCGGGTTCGGATCCCGGGTGCGCATCAAGGCACCACTTCTCCGTTCATCCTGAGGCCGAGTCCCACATACAGCAACTAGAAGGATGTGCAGCTACGACACACAACTATCCACTGGG